ATCATTATCCTCCTCCTCCTCCCTCCTTCCTTCCTCCTCCTCCTCCCCTCCTTCCTTCCTTCCTTCCTCTTCCTCCTCCTTTCCCTCCTCCCCCTCCTCCTCCTCCTCCTCCCCTCCTCCTCTTCCCTTCCTCCCCCCTTCTTCCTCCTCCCTCCTCCTCCTCCTCCTCTTCCCTCCACCTCCCCCTCCTCCCCTCCCCTTCCCCTCCCCCTCCCTCCTCCTCCCCCCCCTCTCCTCCTCCCTTGCGGCCGAATCCCACCTATAAATCCAGTATATATAATCTGTTAAAAGGTTTCCTCGGCAGTGGCGCCTGGCCTGTGTTTGCTCGGGAAGGGCGCCCAGCAGGCCTCTTGCTCTCGTCTTCTCTGAGTGCCTTTCGTCTGTGTCTGTTTGTTTGTCTATGTCTGTGTGTCTGTCTATTTGTCTGTCTGTCAGAAAGTCAGTTAGTCAATCAGTCATTCAGCCAGTCAGTCAGTCTTTCTGTCTGTCTGTCTGTCTGTCTGTCTGTCTGTGTCTGTCTGTCTGTCTGTCTGTCTGTCTGTCTGTCTGTCTGTCTGTCTGTCTACCTGTCTGTCTAATTATTTGTGTATATATATATATATTAATAATATATATATATATATATACATAAACAAACAGACAAATCAAGAAAAAAACATACATAACAAATAAAGAAAGAAAAAACACATAACATACATAAACAAATAAACAAAAAAATGTATAAAATAACCAAATAAATAATACCGAATAAGACAAATCAACCAACCAAAACAAACAAACAAACAAACAAACAGCCTCCCAAGCCCCGCCTCCATCTTGCAGTCTCGCGCGCAGCTTGCTTCCCCAAGATTGCAAGGCGACGGGGGAACGGCAACCATAAGTCCCTGCAACACGTGCAACCATAACTTAAGCGAAACACAACGCGAGTGAATTATATGAGTTTTTTTCCTCCTCTTTTTCCTTTCTCTCTCTCTCCCTTTTTTTTTTTTTTTTTTTTTTTTTTTTTTTTTTTTTGGGTGTTATTTTTTTCTTTCTTTTTCATTTTTTGTTTTGATTTTCTTGTTGATTTTCTTTTCTTTTCTATTTCTTTGGTCTTTATTCTTTTTCTTTTCTTTCTTTTCCCCTCGTTTTTCCCATTTTTTCCTTTCTTTTCATCTCCTTCCATTCCTTTCATTTCTTTACGTTTTCTTCCATTTCTTTTCTTTTTTTTCACACTGCAACTCCAACAAGTCTGCCTGAGCGTGTGCATGAATTCATGTTCAAGCTTATGTTTGCGAAAAGACTCATTTTTTTGCATTAATTCTGGGGATTGTTGCAAAGGATGTGTTTATGGTCGACTGTGCTGAAATGTACAAATAAACTAGTGGGTTTTGAGTGTGTGTGGGGGTGGGGGTGGGGGTGGGGAAGGGGTGTGTGTGTGTGTGAGTGGTGTGTGAGTATGTGAGCGTGTGTGTGTGTGTGTGTGGGAGGGGGGGGGTGTGCGTGTGTGACATGTACATATATGTAGCCTATAGGCACAGATTTGACGAGAATCTTCCTAATAATAATAATAATAATAATAATAATAATAATAATAATAATAATAATAATAATAATAATAATAATAATAATAATAATAATGATATTGATGATAATAATAAAAATAAAATAACAAAAAAATAATAACAATAACAATAAAAGCAACAACAACAACAACAACAACAACAACAACAGCAATAATAATAATAAACAAAAATAATAATAATAATAATAATAAAAATAATCATTATTGTCATAATTATTATTATTATTATTATTATTATTATTATTATTATTACTATAATCATAATCATATTCATAATCATAATAATAATAATAACAATAATCATCATCATCACTATCACCATCACCATCACCATCATCATCATCATCATCATCATCCTTCACCATCACCATCACCATCACCATCACCATCATCATAAAATAAAAATAAAAATAAAAAATACCATAATAATAATAATAATAACAAAAAACAGCTTTCATAACGTCAACAGCCATCCCATACGCATAGATGCCGTCCGTTTTGCAGCCCCGCGAGAGCGAAACCAAAACGGCACGAGAGGCACGGCACTCGCCATATGTCACCGCTCTTGACAGGCGGCACCGTGCCAACATGACCTTGCAACCCCCGTCCCTCCCTCCCCTTCCCCTCCCCCTTTTTCGAGCCTCTCACCCCCTCCTTCTTACCCCACGCGACCCCCCCCCCCCCCATCCAGCTATCCACGTCAAGGTCACTATTGGAGACGAAATGAGGTGGGAGGGAGGGAGGGAGGGAGGGACAGATAGATAGATAGATAGATAGGTAGATATAGGCCTATTTAGATGAGTGGATAGATGGATAGAGGGATAGAGATATAACGAGATATATGAACAGATAGATACATAGATAGACAGATGGACAGATAGACAGCCAGATATTTAGGTAGGTAGATAGATAGACAGACTGATTGAAGTGCAAATAGATATATAGAGAGATAAGGGAGGGAGTGTGGGAGAGACAGAGATGGATAGATAGAAGCACAAAACAGACAGACTGGCAGAGAAGAAATAGGAAAAAAATAGAAAAAAAGA